GACCGTTGAGTTTTATTAATGAAAAGGAAACAATAGGAGATTTTTCTCCCCAAATTTGTTCTTCTCCATCTTCTGTAAATTGTACATGGTATCCAGAGCTTGATCTGTCGAAGCTTTGATTATCTCATTCCATGGCGCGACGTGACAATCCGAATGGCGGAGAGATCATTTTATCGCACGACGATCCGCTGCATCTTCAAAGCTCCGATCATCCTGGGATGAATCTGGTGTCGATCCGGCTAAATGGCAACAACTTTCTGCCATGGAAGCGAGCTGTTCTCATCGCACTAGGCGCGAAAAACAAGCTCGATTTCATTAACGGTACCTTCTTACCTCCTCAGGATTCTGATGATTTTAAGAAATGGAAAAAGGTAGATTATATGGTGATTTCGTGGTTGTTAAATACAATGTCAACTGAGATAGCTGAAGGATTTGTTTATGTGGAATCTGCTTTTCAACTTTGGGATATTATCAATCAAAGGTTTGGCGAATCAAACGCACCTTTGTTATTCAGTTTGCAAAAGGAAATCGCCAACATTAAGCAAGGAAATTCATCTGTGGTGCTATATTTTTCGAAGTTGAATAGGTTATGGGATGAATGTGCCGTTCTAGCTCCTTTGCCTCTCTGCGATTGTCCTAAATCAAAGGAAATTTTAGAAATGGATTCCAGAAACAAGCTGATGCAGTTCCTTATGGGGTTAAATGAGACCTTTGAGGCAGTAAGTAGCCAAATTCTGCTTATGGAGCAATTACCAAATGTTAATAAAGCATACTCACTCATACTGCAAGAAGAAAGGAAGAGGAATGTTCACACTCTGTATCCAGATGCAGCTGAAACTGCAGCTATGGCCTCAGGACAAGTAAGAGATTATGGACATAAAGGAAAACCAGCTTGGAATAAGGGAAAACCACAAGTTTGGAACTCAGGAAAGGGCAAGGTGTTTACACCGAGAAGATCTAAAGAGGAAAGAGCTCAGTTGACATGTGATCATTGTGGTTTTACTGGACATGAGCAAAGGGAATGTTTTAAACTACATGGTTATCCGGATTGGTACAAGGAATACAAGGAAAAGAACAAGGCAGTTGCCAATCAAGTGGATTCTGGAGGGAATTACATTGATTCAAAGGGAATTGATATGGCTAATTTGGCTCAAGAGCTCATGAAGTACATAGGAGGAACGCAGAAATCAAATTTTGAAGTAATATCTGAAGGTGTCAACTTTGCAGGTAACATTGCTAACTCAGACTTTCATTTTGCACTTTCTATGTTTGAGGATATTGGAAAGGGGTCTTGGATTTTGGATACTGGTGCTAGCAAGCACATGTGTGCAAATAAATCTCAGCTACATGATATTGTTCTTTTGCCTAAACCTGTTGCTGTATACCTTCCAGATGGCACACTTAAGCAAGTTACACATAAAGGAAAAGTCCATATCAACCCTCACATTACACTTACAGATGTCTTATATATACCAACTTTTAAATTCAACCTCCTATCTGTTTCACAACTGGCCCAAGATTCAGATATTACATGCATTTTTACCCCTAACAAATGCTTGTTGCAGGGCCCTAAGGATTGCAAAGTGGTTGCAGAGGGAAAGATGATAGGAAAACTCTATTTTTTGCATTCTGTTGATTCCTCCACTCTTGTAAACAATACTTGCTCTTCTGTTGATTCTGAGACAAACAAACTTGTAAATTGGCATGTTGTGTTGGGACATGCATCTGTGAGTTCATTGAAACATTTGTCTTTCTTGAAACCTTATTTTTCAGTTCATAATGAAACCATTGTCAAATCTTGTGAGACATGTGCTAAAGCAAAACATCACAGAGATCCATTTCCAAATTCTTCTCTGAAAACTAAATCTCCTTTTGAGTTGTTGCATATTGACCTTTGGGGACCCTGCAATGATAGCAATCTAAAAGGGATTAAGTATGCCCTGACCATTGTAGATGATTACAGTAGGGCCACATGGTTGTACCTCCTCATGCACAAAAATCAAGTGTCCCATACCCTTTCTTCTTTCATTTCCCTTATACAGAATCAGTTTCAAAAAACCATTAAAACTTTCAGAAGTGATAATGGCACAGAATTTGTAAGCCAAGAGTGTCAAAAGGTTTTCCATTATTTTGGTATAGTACACCAAAGAACCTGTGTCTATACACCACAACAAAATGGCATTGTTGAGAGAAAACATAGACATCTTCTTGAGACAGCTAGGTCACTTATGTTTCACTCCAACATTCCTTTATTCTTGTGGCCTGAATCTTTGTTGACAGCAGCTTACATAATAAACCGGTTACCAAATTCTATTTTGAACTGGAAAACTCCTTTTGAAGCTCTATATGGCAAACCACCAGAATACTCCTTGTTGAAACCTTTTGGATGCCTAGTTTTTGCAGCCAATACAGAACCACACAAATCCAAATTCACTACTCGATCTCACAAGTGTGTTTTCCTTGGGTTAGAATCAGGTAGAAAAGGGTACAAGCTATTCAATATTGACACTGGGAAAATTATAATCAGTAGAGATGTGAAAATTTCAGAGAACATTTTTCCTTATCACGATAAAACTCTTCCTTCACATAATGCAGTTCCTATCCCACAAATCTCTATTCTTGAAAGTTCTGATTCTGATAATTCCTTGCCACCTGAAAGTTCATCTGAGATTTTACCTACCCCTCAGCCCTCAGTTACTCATTCACAACCTCATAGACCAACCAGAACCAAATCTAAACCTCTCTGGTTGCAGGACTATGTCACTTACTGTTCTTCTACTCATCTTCCCACTGCTACCATGAAGCAGTCTACAGGGGTGACCACAACAGGTATCTCTAATTCTCATATACAACCATATAATCATTCCTTTCCTTTGCACCCTGATTATCTTGAATTTTTGCACAATGTATCCATTGATCAAGAACCTGCTTCTTATTCTCATGCAAAGAATAGTGTAGAATGGGTCAAAGCAATGCAAGAAGAGCTGACTGCTCTAGAGCAGAATGAGACTTGGGATTTAGTTGACTTACCAGCTGGTAAGAAACCCATAGGTAACAAATGGGTTTATAAGATCAAAAGGAAACCTGATGGATCAGTAGACAGGTATAAGGCCAGATTAGTGGCAAAGGGGTACACACAAGTCTATGGAGTTGACTATGTGGATTGTTTCTCTCCTGTGGCAAAGCAGGTAACTGTCAGGTTGTTCTTGGCCATAAGCTCAGCAAAAGGATGGCCTTTATGCCAAATTGACATAAATAATGCATTCTTGCATGGAAGTTTGAAAGAGGAAATATATATGGAGTGTCCACAGGGCTATGATAGACAGAACAGTGGGAAAGTTTGCAGGTTGAGAAAGAGCCTCTATGGGCTTAAACAGGCTTCCAGGGAGTGGAACCAAGAATTTTGTGACAAACTGCTAGCCTATGGTTTTATTCAGTCACAGAATGACCATTGTCTGTTTACAAAATCCACTGGGGATACTTTTCTTGCATTACTGGTATATGTAGATGATGTACTTGTGATGGGACCAGACTTACAGCTTATTGAGGACTTGAAGTCATACTTAAACAGGGAGTTTACCATTAAAGATCTGGGATTTGCTAAATTTTTCCTCGGTGTTGAAATTGCCAGAGGAGATCATGGGACTTACCTTAGTCAGAAGAAGTATATTCTGGATATGCTTAAGGATTTAAAGTTGGAGCATAGCAGAACTGCTGCAACTCCTCTTCCACATGGTCTTATCTTGAAAAGTAAGGATGGTTTGCCTTTGCCTTCAGCTGATGTTTACAGGAGATTAGTAGGAAGGTTGTTATATCTCAACTTAACTAGGCCTGACATAGCTTTCTCAGTCCAACAGCTCAGCCAGTTTGTTAATGACCCTCACTCTTCTCATTGGGATGCTGCCTTACATGTGCTCAGATATTTAAAAGGCACATCTTCCCTTGGTTTGTTCTATCCCAACACAAGTAACTTCAAGCTCACTGCCTATTGTGATGCAGACTGGGGGGCTTGCCCAGACACTAGGAGGTCTTTAACTGGCTTCTGCATTTTCTTGGGAGATTCACTTGTGTCTTGGAAAAGCAAGAAGCAATCCACTGTGTCCAAGTCTTCAGCTGAGTCAGAATATAGAGCTTTAAGCTCTACTGCTTGTGAAATCCAATGGTTGGTGTACATCTCTCAGGATCTTCAGCTGCCTATTCATCTTCCAGTGCCATTGCTTTGTGACAATCAATCAGCCTTACACATTGTGGAAAATCCTGTTTTCCATGAAAGGACTAAGCATTTGGAAATTGACTGTCACTTGGTCAGGCACAAGTTCAAGGAAGGGCTGCTAGCTCCCAGTTATGTTCCCTCTTCCAAGCAGCTTGCAGATGGTCTGACTAAATCCATTGGTGGTCATCTTTTCCGGTCCATGGTGGTCAAGTTGGGAATGACAGATTTTCACTGTCATCCCACTTGAGGGGGGTGTGTTGAGATAGTTAATAATATAGCTTTAGTAGTTGTTAGTCTCAATATGTTGTTTTTCTCTTTTCTTCCTTAGTCGTGTTTCACTTTCTTTCATCTAGTATAAATAGCATTTCTATTGTAATTTGACCGTTGAGTTTTATTAATGAAAAGGAAACAATAGGAGATTTTTCTCCCCAAATTTGTTCTTCTCCATCTTCTGTAAATTGTACAAAACTGAACTGCAATAGTAATTCTACTTCTCTTCGTTGTAGATGGTCTCAAAATGTGATGGAGCTCAGGACAGAGAATTGCAGTCAATGGAAAATGAGACCGTAATTTGCCCTAAAGAACCAGATAAGGACTCCAAAGACCCGATACCAGTACCCGTCATCTCTAAGAAGAAGACTACTGATGAGTACAACTGGCGTAA